GTGCTTTTGGTTGCATAGGCTTCCGCAGCCTTCCTCAGAGCGCACTGCTATATTGGTGCAATTTTTTTCTTCCACTTTTTTGTTTTGTGTAATGTCTTGAGTTTTAAGTGGTTCATTTTTTCTGGTTTCTTCCTCTTTCTTGTTTGATCTTTTTAGTGTTCAATTCTGTCTTTATTAAAATGTGTGATTCTTGTGATAATGAATCAGTAGGGTGGGGTCTCTTCTGAAGAGTTGGGAACTGTAGGTTATTGAATAAAGGAGCTTCATGTTGATTTTCTAAATGACGTGATAAAATACGTGTTATCAGCTGTTGAATTCTTAGCAAGAGAATGTGTGTTATGTTTTTCAGTTTCATTATTACTTAGGAGCTTTAGTGGGCACGGATTTGCAATATGAACATTGTCTTTACATATAAAACATGACATGTCTGTAGTGAAGAATACCCTGTATGTTATGTTATCATAGTATATTAAAGTGGAGGTTGCTAGTTTCTCTACATATTCAGGGGCTATATAAACTGGCCTTCGAAAACTCATTATATGGAAGAAACCAGGTTTACTTATACCAGCTTTTATAAACGATATTTTAGTCGATATTGAGATACCTCTGTCATTCAGTTCTTTTTCTATTACTTCATGCGTTATAACTGGGCATACATTTGAGATTGTTACTTTTTTGTGCCTGCTGATGAACGGTCTAACACCTAATTTGTCGTTCTTAATTTCTATTGTTGGATTGTGTTCTATGAATCGGTCAGTGATAGCTTGGTTGACAAAAAATATACAAATTTTGTTATTTGGCATGCGGGTTATAAATTTAATATCTGTGGCATTTGCAATCGTTGCAATTTTACTAATTTATAATATTTTATGGATAACTCTTCTTGTGACTCAATAATAGCGGCTTATTCTTTTGATGGAAAGAGGTCTGATGTAGTTGCATTCGAATAGGATTTTCTTACTTGGACATGTTGATTACTGGTGTTAGTGTAGGTTGTGAGTGACTTGTTGAATGAAGATGCTTCTGCTAATGTTTTGGCATTGATCTCCGAGGTTCGTTCTTGGGTGTTGGTTCAGTTGGAGGTATCCCTTATTGTCAAAAGCCATATCTAACAGATTAGCACCTGCAATTGCAGCTCTTATCTGTTATCTTGATAGATAAATCAAGCTATGGAGTTAGCACATCTATAACACTAGAAATATTTAATACAAATCGTGACGCTGTATACGCACGGCCTCCTTCATGACCAAAATGTATATTACATTTTATCGTGAACATAAAACACAATTTTTAATTCTAAAGAATGGTTAAACATAACAACTTGTTACATTGTATTTTTAATGAAAATGATGTTTGTTGCGTAATTTTTCGCGAATTTCTGGAAAACAAAGCATCTGATGGAAATATGCTTATTACCAATATATTCGCCATAAAATTTCGTGCTATTACACTGGCTTTGAGAAGAATCCGGCTCAAATCGCAAAATTCAACAGGCTGATCGTGGAATTATTTCATTTTTTAACATAAAAAACAGATGCTCGTATCTCATGAACTATGCAAAATATTACAATTTTATGTCCATTAATCGGGTTCAGAATTTAATGTTCTTTCAGAAAATGCCATCATTTGCCACTTTTTCAAAAGAAACTGTTAAACATGGCAACATCTTGCATTATATTTTTGATGAAAATTAGGTTTGTTGCGTAATTTTACGCCAATTTCTGGAAAACAAAGCATTTGATGGAAATATGCTTATTACCAGTGTATTCGCCGTGAAAATCGTGCTAATAAACTGCTTTTGAGAAGAATTCGATTCATGTCGGATATCGGACCTGGAATCAAAATCAGGATCGTGGGATTTTTACATTTTTTAACTCAAAAATGAACTGCCCATATTTCACATTATGCTAAATATTTCGATTTTATGTGCATTATCCTCGTTCAAAGTTTAATGTAGTTTCAGAAAATGCCATGATTTGCCACATGCTGACGATAAATGTACCGTCTGGAGGCGTTTTACGAAAATCGTGTTTTGTAGAGCTATTGAAAATTTTGAAAAAAATGGTTTACTTTGTCTAAGATTTACAAACGTACGATATTTTTATCGTTACATCTCATTTCAATATTCGATAGCTATAATCGCTTTGGTCCAAAGGCCATAGGTAGTTAAAGTTCTCGATAGGTTATACATCAAATGGATCGATTTGCCCGAACTCATTTTGTAAAATGTCATAGATTCTTACGTCGCAAATACCTATTAATACACTAACAATGCAGTATCTGATTACATTTGATCTGAATTTACTAGGTATTTTTTAGAATTATAATCATAAAATGTATTAATTTTTAAACGTAACTGAAGTGGGACTTTAACAACATTCTTTCATTTGTTAAAATATGTCTTTACAGTCGTCGGTATTAAAATGTTACTTCAATCCCAGAGGAATTAAATCAACATAAAAACAAACAAACAAATTCTTCCACTCGTACTGAAACTGAAGCCTAAACGGTTGAGTGCCTATGTAACTGTCTCCAAATGTATGAAGTCACGAAACCATCGTTAGTCATTGGCTGTAGTCAATGTTGAGTAAGCATATTTTAAACTAAAAAGGGAATTAAAGAAAATTGGTTTAAAAATAAACTTCAAATATGACCCGGGATTTAACTGAACTTTATACACTCAGGAGAATTCTGTCCCTTGGGCTATCATGTTTGGGACCTAAACTTTCTCTCGTGAATATAGCCCCACTGTTTGTTAGTAAATAACTAATATAATTCTGATTAATAATAATAATAATAATAATAATAATATAATATATTATTATATAGCGCAGTGTCAAGAACAATCTGATTATAAATGGAAACCGGTTTCGTAACAAATAATATTCACGGGCAAAAATTCGTTACTGGTTCTAAAACCAATAGTAAGCTAACAACATTTTATTCTGAAGTTGAAGAATAGTCATCATGATCATCATCTCTTCAGGGATTGGGAGAATCTCCTGTACCGTCTTCAGCATGCCATCGTAACCTTGGGCAGCCCATATGTCTTTTACCAAGAGGTCTATAGTGATATATATGTTTTGGGATGCGGTCACTACTCATTCTATATAGATGTTGGGACCATCGGGTCCTGTATTCTTGCCTTTTATTAATGGGAGGACTAATTTTTTCCTAATTATCCAACTTTTTATTTGTATAATACAGTGCAGCCTTGACTTGTCTCAAGAACCTCATCTCAAACCGTCTGAATTCTAGCTAAATCTTTCTCAGAATGGCCCCTCCGTAACTTTTCCTCTTTTCAGAGCCCTCTGTAACTGATCCTCATTTTCGTGGATAATTATATGATCGTCTGCAAAAATATATGTAAATATTAAATAAACCTGGTGAACGGCTACAACCTTGACTATCGCCTGGATTAATTATGAATTCCTCGGGTAGTTTTCCATTTAAAACCAATACATTTATAGTTCTGTGCTATAAGAGTTTGATTACTTCAATTAAATGGAGTGGAATGTCTCTTTTATTCATTATCTTCCATATTGAATGTCGATGCACCATGTCGAATGCTTTCTCAAGAAAGTGATATGTGTTTTCTGATTAAATTCTACCCTGTTCTGTGAAAGTAAGTTAATGGAGAATATACTATCATCGAAACAGGATCTTCCTTTTCTAAATCCTTTTTGTTCTTCTATTGTCAAGAAGAGTTGTTAATCTTCTGTTAATAATTTTAGTATATATCTTGTACAATTAATTTAGCAAAGTAATTCTTCTATAGTTCTCTGATTTGCTTTTATTTTCTTTCTTGAAAAATGAGATTACCTTTGCTTTTGTCCATTCTTCTGAAATTGTGTAAGTCTCCCACATGCATTGAAGAAAAGTAGTTAGCGAATAGTTTTTGAATATGAGTGAATGAGGCAATGAATATGAATGAATGACGAAACTAAACTTAAGATAAAGAGGAAGAACGATTGTTTTGGATCTGTTAAACACTCAGGAGTGTAATCAGAATATATTTATTAATACTATATACATAAAATACAGTTAAATTATTATACATATATTACATATTTTCTACTACCAATGCATTAAAAAATTGACTATATCAAAGTGTGGAATTCATCTTCAATGCGAAACTCAACATAAAATACAAGTTAAATAACTAGTAATTTTATATTTAATATCATATTTAGAATTTAACTTAATTTTACATAATATATTATAATATGCGAACATTGAAAGTTAATGGAAGGTACTGAAAAATAAACAGCGTATCAGCAAAAATTTATAACAACTAAAATAAAAATGAAATCATCAGATTCGGGCAATCGAAAAATTTATTTTTCCTAAGCATCTACAATATTTGTATCTGCCGATTTTTTCAGTCATTTTGGCTCCAATCTTAGTAACTGCGCTCTTAAAATGCACTTCTATAGTGGAGTGATTTCCTAGGAAGCACCCGAAAATATGATAATGTTAATTGCTCCTTATTAAAGAAACGATAGTGCACATTTCAAACAGAAATGTAATATTAAATAAATGTTATGTGGTGTATTATTATTTAATAAATAAAGTAAAAGGTTTGCAAAGAGGACACACGTTATTATTTATTTAGTCACTAAATGGCTTCGAAATGGGAAATATTAATTTGACACATTCATAATTGGATTTTATCCAAATGTATTCATATTCGTTTTTTTAAAATTTCGCCTTTGTTATTCATTCGATATTGGGTGGCTCTAAACTAAGAAGTTGTTTGAGCCATTTAGGGGCCTGAGTCCCTTAGTTTCTCACGAAACACTACCGCTACGCATTGTCAGGCCGTCCGCACGCCAAGAGTTGATGCGGCTCGTGGCGGAACGGATGCTGGTGAACGGAAAGTTCGGAAAACTTAGGCTACAGCGAGGAAAAACTCACCCTGACCAATGTGATTAACCATCCAAAGACAAGCTCTTCGGCGGGAGGTAGCAGCCTTCTCGGATCTTGCCCTCCTCCCCCCCCCCCACCCGGCAAGCTCGACAGCTGGGAGATCTCCAAACTTGCGATACGACTTCACTGACGATGATTTCAAAATATACACGGTTTTATAAAATCATCAACGTATTTAACATCGATATTTTAATGCTGGTGCTTTTAATACCGATGTTTTTAGTAGTGAATTTTTTTAAAATGAAAGAAATCCTTAGTTCTATAATAATTTTCAGATTTCTATAACTTCAATATTTTTCATACCAAAGTTACTAAGGGTGATAAATAAATAAAAGTAAGTTTTCGTCAATAAAGAATCCTATATTAATTAGGAATTATCCGATTCAATAATATACTTTTTTGGCAGTTGTTCAATTTTTTTGACTTTCTTTTGTCAGTTAAACCTCAATTAAATCTAATAACAGTGAATTTTTTTGAAATTAAATTTCTCTGTATGAATTTCAATGGTTTCTAATCCAGTTTTAAAATCATCGATGATTTTGAACTTTGTTGTTTATGACTATCTTATTATTTAAATTTAATTCTATAAATATAGTCCAATATATATTAATATACAGTAAAACTATTGTGGGTAAAATGAATTGGAAAAAATTAAAAAAAAATATTTGATCTGATTTTCCCTATTTGTTACCTATAATAATTTGACTGTAGGTAAATACGTTATAGCATTTATAGAATTATAGAATTTTATTTATTATTTATGGAAATATTTTGTACGCATAAAAGGACCATATTTATGGAATTAAATCGGTGATGCTGTGCTGATGTTTCGTTGGCGATGTGGCCCCCCCGCTGGCAAGAGGCGCTCAGAGGGGCTTCTGCAGCACGTGCACGTAGACGGCGGGCTGGTCGTCGGGGGCGTCGCCGTCGCCGTCTTGTGCGTCGTCGTCGCCCTCCAGGTCGGGGAGGCCGAGGCCGTCGCCCTCGAGGCCGTGCGTGTAGCCGGGCGTGGGGCGGAAGTCGGCGTAGACGGTGTGGCCGGCCACGGGCCCCAGCGCGTCGCGCAGCAGCGCGCAGAAGTCGTCGAGGCGGTGCGGGTAGTAGGTGAGGCGGAAGCAGCTCTTCGCCTTCTGGCTCTCCTCGCGCGCGGCCTCCACGCTCTTGCCGTCCCCGCGCCCCACCTCGTAGTCCATCGCCACCTCCACCGCCTCCCCGTCCACGTACACCACCGACGTGCGGATGTCCGTCACGGAATTCTGCAATGCGCCCACGCAGCCATCAGTACATTTCAAACCCACTCGCTTATTACATTAAAATACCTATATAATAATAATAATAATAATAATAATAATAATAACAACAATACTTCATTAAAGAAATAGTACGACAATTATAAAATTACTAATATAATGGTTTGGAAAGAAAACATTTAATTAATTTTTTTAATACCCTTTGCACAATTACGTGCTGCAGGAACCACCTTCTGAGAGTTAGATAATGTTATGACCACCTGATTATTATTATGATTAATAATAATTATTATTATGATTAATTATTACTATTATGATTAATTATTACTATTATGATTAATTATTATTATTATCATTATTATCAGATTCACTCAATTCCCTTTGAAAATGAATACCAATACCCAATGGCTTTATTGACAATAAATATTGGAGAGAGTATGCACATGAACCATGTCGCTTACCACGCGATCTTCTCCCACTCCCAGAAAGCATAAAACAAATTCTATGACCCCTTAATTGCAGAGGGCCCTGGTAGTGGGGAAATAAATGGCAAAAGGCTAATTTGAAAACGAGTCATAACATTCTCTATCCCTCAGCAAGTGATTCCTGCAGCATGTAATTGTACAAAAGGTATTAAAATAATAATTATATGCACTCGTTGCAAACCATTATATTACTAATTTTATAATTGTTCATCCAATTGGTAATGAAGTATTGTTATTATTATTATTATTATTATTAAATGTTACAATGAGTGGTGTGGCGTGGAGCTTACGTTGTAGTAGAAGCAGCTCTTGGGCGTGGCGCCGGTGGCGAGGATGGCGTCGTAGTTGCGGTGGTCCACGATGAGCGCGCCGCCGGGGCGCACGCAGCCCCAGAAGTTGGCGATGGCGCGGCGCTGGTCGGCCTGCGCGCAACGGAAGGAGGCGGTTCAGCCAAGCACCACCCGCGGGCCACGACTCAGGAGGGATTCGCGAGACGTTTGGCCTCCAAGTCGAAGTTCTAATTTTCAAATTACGATCGATGTCGAGAAAAGGTCAGTTTAGGGGAGGAAGCACGTTGCGCGATTGAATTTGCGGCTTTCTATTTTAGACATTTTTTCAACAAATATTATTTATAAAGCGAAAGTGCAATTTGTCATCTAAGAAATTTACTTTCATTTTACACCTCCTTAATTAAAATTTGTTATTTGAGAGAGTTCCAAAATATATCTAAGAACATAAATAATATACGTATTGTCTATTTTTTATGTAATAATTGTCTCCTTTGAAATGTAATGAAAGGTCATAGTTGAAATATAAATCATCTCCTTCGCAGAACTGTTATTCACCGAATCAGTCACTTACATTAAGCATTAATTTTGTCACATGACGGTTGATTTCTTGGGTTTTGCACGGATAGATGATAAAATTCAAAATAGTTATAAGAATATCCCTTAGAGCCCAAATACACGCTTCCTTTTGACAAACGATTTTGGAGTGTTAGCGAACGCGTGCATTCCAAGATTCCCAAACGCCAAAAACGAAGTCGCACTCGGAATTGTGATTTCATTGCTTGTAATTGTTTTAAGAAGTAATACATTGTTAACTGTCCCGCGGCATGAGTAGTGCATAGAAGTATGTGTAAGGTGAATGATAGAACAAGGAATGGGAAGGAAAGATCGCGGCGGTCTGTGGCCCGTTTGGTAGAGTACTGCTTCGGTATTCGCCAGGTATTAATAGGAGAAACAACTGAAAACTATCGATCAGAGCAGTCGGCTGCTAGAATTCTTCTCCAGACAGCGACAAAACTTGACCTCTCTATCTGACTAGTGTCGAAAATACAGCCACCGTCGGGACTCTAACCTCAGAACGTCCCGGTCACAGGCACTGCACCGACATAGTTGCTGCCCTGAGCCTCCTCTCCCGGTGTGGGCTAGATAATATGTCGCGCCAGGAAAGTCTCTCGCTGTGTCATGGCCTCCTATTAAAAATTCCATTGATGTTGGTAGCAAACGGATTGCTGGGGCACAAGAGAAATGGACTACACTTCCAGCATCTGTTGTGATTGTGGCAACGAGCTAGAATGTATTACATAGAGTGGCTGAAACCCCCTCCATCTTTGAAGCAAATTGAAGCCTTGTTTTCTGCAGTCAAATCAGCACCCTCTGGGAAGCAACGTATTCTAGCATTATGTTTGGGGCTGGTTACGGACGGTTACACCGCCATTCGTATGTTTTGACTTCAAAAAGCACGGCGGCCACTAGTTCAGCGAGCCTCCACCAAGAGCGCTGAACTATAGGAACAGTGAATTATGAAGTGTATTCTAGCTCGTTGGATTGTGGTGAGTGCGGTTTTGTTTTGTTACGCGCTGTTGAGGCGTGGGCGTCGCGAGCGGCGCTCGTCGTACCTGCGGGTCGGGCCCGGGTCGCGCAGGCAGGTGCGCGAAGGAGTTGCCGAGGCAGAGCACGGCGTCGAAGCGGTCGCGCGCGTCGGGCAGGTCCTCGGGCAGCGTCAGCCAGTTGGCCTCCTCGATGGCCCAGCGGTCGAAGGCCGGCTCCTTGCGGCGCGCCCAGCGCGTGCGCAGCGCGTGCTTCAGCATCTGGTCGGACGCGTCGCACGACGTCACGTCGAAGCCGGCCTCCAGCAGCAGCACGCTGTCCACGCCCGTGCCGCACGCCACGTCCAGCACGCGCTCCGCGCCGCGCGCGCGCAGCAGCCGCCGCAGGAAGGCGCCGTAGTGGCGCGTGCGGCGCGACGCGTCGCCGATGAAGCGCGCCCACGCGCGCGCCGCCTCGCCGTCGGCGTACTGGTCCTTCACCTGCGCACGACCGGCACGCGCCTCTTAGCACCTCCCGGCAGTACAACACTAACAGGATTGCCAGACTCTACTGTAGGTATTGGGACGTCGCGGGTAAGGATTCACACCACAAGGAAGCAGACACGAGAGGACTATATTCAATTTACTTACACAATGATTGCAATTTTTACAATTCCCCTCTCTAAGGCGTTTGTCGGTGCTTTCTAACATCAACCCCCACTCTCTACACGCGCCTTGCGGTCGCGCACGCAACTAGCCAACTAGGCTGACTCGCACTAGGCATCTGAAGTCATACACGGTCTTCCCTGCAGAGAAACTTAACCTGATTATAGGTATTCCAGTGTTGTTGATTCCAAAAATGCCTTCATGAAATGGCTACACGAGTTTTAGTTTTGAAGATCTTCTGCTAAGGTTCTACGACCTTCAAATAAACGTCTTGATCTGAAGTTTTGAACATACAGGTAAATAAAGATTGTCGTCACTTTCTGAATCTCAGTTCATTTTGAATTCATAGGACTTATCTATTTTATTATTGTTGCGTCATGAGTTGACGTATTTGAAGTCTTCGCGACTTTTCAGTAATGTGAACTGTTTCTTTCTCAGATTCGTTACTACTCAAGTCATTAACTTGTAAAAAAAAAAACTTCTCATTCCTTCAATCACCAATAATTTCCTTTTTCAACCCCTCCATACGAGCCGTAAATTTTTGGCATTCTGCGAAGGTTTTACAGCCTGTCTTTCTAGAAACAACAAAACATCGAGATGCGCCAAACAGCTGTTCGTTTTCCGGTTAATTTATTGTGCATGAAGTAAATATTTGGTTAGGTACATCTAATGTACGTTTATTTACATGAAAAGTAATCGCAGGTATGTAAGAGGTAACTAACGGACGCAGCAATGCTTCGTTATTGCAGAGAATTAAATACAATTCAAGCTCAAAATAAATTTATTTAATGAAAGTTAACGTATTAAATACACTCTACTATACTACACTACACATTAAAAATCAAATACTCGTATAATGTTGTGCCAGATTTGATTCAGATATCCTTTCTATAGATCACAACTCCCACGTTATAACAAGTGGAAGCGAGGGGTGTAGTTCAAAAATATATCCATATATCGCACTTCAAGCAAGGTCCTGTGGGAACGGTGTAGAATCCATTACGACGATTAACTTTGCAAAAACAACGCCCCCACATGTCCCATTTAATTCAAACCACTCTCTTAATACCCCCGATACTAATAAGAACTAAGTGTGAAAATTTCAGAGAAACCGGTCGAATAGTTTCTGCGCTTATACGTTTCTGCGACAGATATACGCACATTTCCTTTTATTCATATAAAGATATACATTTTGTAGGGGTATAGTGAGATAAAAAAGTCAATGGTTTGTTTTTACAAATGGATTTGAGGTCGTGACTTCCTCAAGAAGGCAGTGTTTGATTAGTCCGGACGTGTTTTACTTCATATGCTCAATAGACAACCCGTTTCAGAGTTCGTAAAAAGAGTATATCTGAGTTCTGAATTATCATGGCATAAGGAGCATTTGTGTTCAAGTGTTAATGGTGGAAGTGAGAGGAAAAGCTTCTAATACACTTCCAGCAGTGCCGTCAGAAACACTTCAGGATTCTGTATGGTACTAAGGGAAGGAATACATAATGTGAAGTTACAACATTATTCTCACAAACAAGAGACACTCAGCCCTTAATTACTGTGGTCGATATTTCTTTTACCCCGCTCTCAGATTCTGATTATTACTCATAACACAAGCCGAGAACTCTAGTAGAACTATTTGGGAATGTAATAACCTTTGTCGGCAAGAAGCACACTCCTTAAATGGCAGTTACATACCTAGGGTCTGTGTACGTTTTGAGAACTTCGAGTATACTCATGACTTCTTATTTGTCGTTAGTTTCTCTTTCAAATTGTTTCACTTAAGGTTTGAAAGTCGCCGTTCATGAATATAACGTTAGAAATCCTTTGGTCAGTTGGTAGTCACAAACTATATTTGAAAACAAAATTTCACCGTGCGGCCGACAAACGAAACACGCGTCACAGAAGAAATTGTGCAAAGAAGGTTATGAAAAAAACCTTCACTCATGTTGAAGTGCGCACGTCGTTCCACATAACTTGCTCCAGCTAGAAAGGCTGTTGTTTTACACTTGTCCTCAAAAGACAAAACACTATTCGTTCCACTAAATGGAGTATCCCGAGTTAGTTGCGTATACTCTGTGACTAATAAAAGTGTTGGGTATCCTTGATTTGTCGTAACTAATCTCTTTTGATACAATTTTAACGCTCTAAAAAGTCAGCTACATTTACTAAAGTACAAAGTCTATCGTTGATGACCAAAATTATTTCACTGGAAAGAAATGGTTTTTGGAGGACTTTCAGAGACCCCCAATGAAAAAATACAACTGGCGGAGTACATCTTTGACAGCAACGGTCAAAAGTCTGTCGCTGTCAAAAGCTTGCCGTTTGCACCACTGTGATTTGTGAAAGGAATCTTAGGATATAAAATTACAAATAACATAAATTATTTCAACAATTCGGTTTATTGCGGAACATACAATGTTTCTGGTACGATTGCCAGAAGGTTTTTTCAGTCTACTGTCTCCAGGCGCCACATTAAATCATGATAACTGACCTACCAAAAATGAAAGTAACGAAATTTATTTGTAAGTGAAAATTGAGGCTATGTTAAAATTGTTCCGTTATTATTGGTGGCTTCTTAATAATCCAGAATTTTCCTCAGAATAATTGTGCATTATTTGTAATCATATTTATTATGGATCCTCGAAGTTCAGAAATATAAGATGACTGAAAAAAATTGGATTTTATAGTCATGTGAAATATATTTTGGTCATATCAAATATCTTCAAGAATGCTGTAAACTCGTTCCGAGGGAAAGGTTTGGCAAAAACCAGTATTTTTTATGTACTTTATGTACTTTTATGTACAAAGTAAATGTACTTTTCATATATGCGTATAATATTTGTCTCATACTGTACTTGTTTGCCTCTAATTTTTTAAAATTATTTTTACGATCACACGATATATTCTCACTATTTTACAATCTAATAATTTCGCTTTTCTTTCTCAAATTAAATTAATGTATTCGTAATATTAGAAACGTTCCGACGTGTTTCGGAAGGTTGCAGCATTTCCATGTACGCAATTAATTTCAAGTATTCATGAAGATGAATTTTACAATGCTAGAATTTATATTTTCTTTAAGATCTTAGTACAGGAATTAAGAAGATATACGTATTCAAAACACTTCAGAGTATTATTTTATAGATAGGTTTGAGTCATTAATGAATACGAATATTTTAAATATTTTATGTTCTTTTGTGGTTATATTTATCCATCACCACTATTACACGGTCATGTTTCCTTAGCAACACGGCTTCTTTCTTTAGTACACATACTGCTCTGTTGCAAATCTTTATTTAAAGAAATTTGAACTTTCGATTCAGCCAAATTTTGTGTCTGTTTTAAAAACTCGTTGTGTCTTTTACGTAACGCGTCTTTTAGTCCTTTTTGAGCGTTGAGCGTATACTCTCGTACATTGGATTAACTCTGCTCTAAGTTTTTGTCATTTACATCGTAAGGTCGCAATCACTAAATGTCTTTTTTCCCTTTGGCCTGGCGCTCGATGCCATTAGTAAGGGTTCCCAGATGGTCACCCATCCGGGAATCCGTGATGCCTCGAGATGCTAAACTTCCGTGACTTCCCAGAGCGTAGTTCAGCTCTTGGACTTACGACATCGGCTTTTAAATGAAATGTAGTGAACTCTATCACATACATAATTTCATTTGATATATAATGTAACTTGCCTTTTAGTGCCGTAAAATTTTCATTATCGTGCAGCAAACATAAAAGAATATAAAACCATATATTTTTAAATGGGTAATTTGCTGCGAATACCTTTTGTTCTTTACCAGACATTGTAACATAATTCTAAATTTCTCTTACTTTATCAGTTTTGGAGAATAAGTACTGAACGACATTTACATGACTGACACCCGATGAAACAACGTTAACGGGGATTTTGATTTATTCTGGAGTGCAGGGTACTCCAACTAGCCCGCGGTGCTATTATTTTGCGTAAGGTTATTAGTCAAACGTGAAATTCCCTTGCATCCAAATCGGGCGTAAACATTGCGCGCCTAGCGCACGCACCCTGTCAGGGTCAAAACCTTAGTGTAAAAATATATTTCATTTTTTTCTTTAGTAAATTTAGAAATTCCAAATCATTCCAGTTTTCCTGCGTTATGGATGGAACGGTCTGATATCACGTATGGTTCCATCCCACCCCCATTCAGAACAGCCGGGCAAATATGCGAGATCAACAATACGAAGTCAGGTGTAGTTTGCCCTTGTGATAAAAATATGGCCCGCAACCACGTGAAAAGTTTTCAGTTCCCCTGGAGTAGCCCTGGAGTACTGGCGAGTTGGACACTCCTGATGTAGTTCATATATAGTACTTTCCTATAAATCTTCCTTTTCAGCAATCAACTCGCAAGCTTGTTTTATTTTATTATCTAATTTGATATTTGAAATACACGACATCCTTTTATTTGTGTTGTACGAGTATTGTATATTTCATTTGAATGTAATGGCCTCGTAATATATTTTTATAATCCTGCAGCAAACGTAAAATGAAATACATTTTTTTTATTGGGCGTAGTATATTTTACTGCGAATACTGCTTGTTCTTTCCTGGATTATGGTATCAGTTCATTCACAAAAACTGACAGAGATGAAAATTGGCATTTCAAGGAGTAGACTTCTCAATTAAGAAACTTAAGAACTTCTTAGGTAAGGAATTTCGTAGAGATAATAAAGAATTCCATTTTGTGATGCATTTGATCCGAATCGCTGACAATTTCTTTAAGCAAATTGCGACAATTTTACCATTTTTGTACCTGCACCCATAGAATAATAATACATACAAATAAAATTTGTAACGAACATATAGAGCTAAATAAAA